ATGGCTTAGAAAATATGCAACATAAAAAGGCTTTTGTTTGTGCCACTGTATAATCCTTGAACTCAAACCATACTCCAGACATTTTGAATTGAGAAAGCTTCCTGGAAGGGAAGCAAAACCTCTTCAAGCTTGGAAAACAAAGTCCAGTTGTTTGATTTTCAACTTTTTTAACTTTGTTCGACTGACTATGTTCTGGATGACTGTGAATCTTCACTAACATATTAGCAGTGTTGGTCTGCAAATTTCATCTAGTGATGTCTCGCTTTATAATTTAAACCCTGATGCCTTAAAAAAGAGATTTTTTTTATTTTTATGTGTCTCTTAAAATCAGGGACCAAGATTAAATATAATTTAAGTTTCATAGTTTTTCCCTGTGAGAACCTCCCAGGAGTTCAGAACCTGATATTTTTGGCAAGAATAAAACCAAAGTTAACTATTTTTTTCACCTTCCATAAAATAATGAATTCATGTGTTTTATATTTTTTGTGTATAGTCTCTTTGAACAGTACTTTCAGGCCATTATTTCTGTAACTATTTCTTAGCAACCATTTACAGGCTTCTAACAGTGCACATTATCTGGCCTAACTGAGTGGAATGTTTTGTTGTCTTTTCTGTTTTGAAGAGTATAGAGATATTGGCCTCCTGTATATATTTTTACCCAGAAAAAATGAAATAGTGGATTACTAATTAAAAGTTACCCAGACACTGATCAACCTAAACAGTAAAGTAAAATTTGGTGTAAGTCACATTAGTATAATAGGAATCATTTTGGGTACCAACAAATATATAGACTTATGTTAACATATGCTATGGTTCCTAGATAAATAGAAGAACACCAACATAGATTTAGCTCTGGCGTGGCAGAGAAATAGAATTGATTTAACCTTAATCATTTGGGTTGCTGTTTTAGTTTAATCTGGATTTTGAGATCCGGTTGGATTTTGGTGTTTCTCCTTCATCATCCATTGAACCACAGTAATAAAGATTCCAGGTTTTTCTTTCAATGAAAAAATGTAGTGTATAACTGCCTCTTGGACCAGTTTATGTCTCCACATATAAACTGTCCATTAATAGCAAAAAGAAACATATAAAAATGTATGATAATGCATTGCTGTTTCTCTACTAAACCCTCCCATAATGAGTCTGTGGTTTGATGTGTTGAAATGCAAGGGGAGTGGTGTGTCTCTGAGCCTCTGCTTTCTCTCCGCCTTGTTTTCTTCAATGTGATCTCACACACTGCATGCCAAGCCGTCTGTATTACTGTGCATGTCTGTGAAATATTTATGCATTGCAGTGGCCATGTGATTCAGGGATGCTCCAGTGGTGAACACCAGCATGCCTCCTCCCTCTTTCTCTTCTTATCGTTCTCCCTTCTTTGCCTGTCTTGTACATATTGCATGCAGCCACTCCTCAATGCTCTTCCACATCCTTATACTATTTTCTGCACTTGTAATCCCTCTTGTGGTCACTCTGTTTCCTGGCGTTATTTTGGAAGAACAACACTGTTCAAAAGCCACTGATATTTTTCCAATTGGTAGAACAATTGTAAATATGTTCCTCATATTGACATAGGGAAAAAAATCCAGAACAAAGCAATTTCAAAACATTTATTTTCTATATCTACAGCTTTAGTGGTGTCATCAACTCAGATGAGGGGTTCAGCCCTTAGTAGCAGTACATTATTCCTCCATAACACATCCATGCTAAAGCTAGTGGAGCTCGGGTACGGGCATGAGGTTCATGGAAAGGACAATGTTAGCTGGTTACATTCTGTGCTGGAGAAAAAAACTGTTTCAGTTGAAAAAAACAACAAAACTTTTTCCTCACCCTAAAGATAACAGTGGGGTTTAGAATAGGCATGGGTCTCTGGATACTGATTTTGGAACCATTTCTGCTTTCATCTGGCCAGTTGTATTGATTTAATCTATTTCTAATATGAAAATAGCTCTTATTAATTATATGTTAAGTATAAGAAAAAACTATATTAGCAGAATGAGCATTTCTAACTACTTTAAACACTTCAGACATATTTAGACATGAAAAGGAAAAAAATAACCTTGATGTCTGAGGAAGATTTAATAAGATAACAAATGTAGATGTTGGATTTTAAGGTCTTTTTTGGTGAGAAGAGATTTACATTTTCTGCTTTTCATTGTGACTTCAAAACACTTTTCTGTTTCCTTAATCCGCACCCTATTTTACAGCTCTTTTAAAATATTAGAATTTTTTTTTTTTTATGAGACCAAAAAGCTGGAAAGTCAGAAATAATAGTTTTGCAGAGAATGTTAAGAAAATTACATAAAAACCAGGGAAAGAGAAAAGGTAGAATGCAATAATGATAGAAATTCAACAAAATTTGATTATTTAACAGATGAATAATATTACAGAGAAGTGGGTTTTCATATCCTATATTTGAAACATAAACAAGCTGGTAGTTTAAGATATTGTGTGAGGAAAGTCAGAGTTTACTACCTGACCGTTAAAGTCCTGTGTGTGCACTGTAACATTAAAAAACTTTCTCCTTCTGATACTTTGGTGTCATACCTAAGGGTTTCAAATCTCTAAACGAGGTATGACATTATTTTCTGAAGCTGTTATTATAACAGCTATTTTCTACCTTCTTTTCACTTTCTGTCTTTTAGGTGACCGACATGATGCAGAAAGCCTTGTTTGACTTCCTTAAACACAGATTTGATGGCAGGTGAGCACGGCTGTCTGCGTTATTCTCCACAGAAACACCGCATCTCAGCTCATGGTGCTATTCTGCCTATCACATTTCATGGTGGAAAGGATACAACATGATGAGAATTTATTTTTAGCTCCTTGAGAATACAGCTTCACTCCTTTGAAATGGAACAGTTGTGGGTATGATGTGATAAGACACTCCTTCCTCAGGATCACTATTACACGGGTGACCGCTGATCTGTCTCTGGCGAAGCGGTCGGTGTTGAACAAGAAGGCCATAATGGAGAGATCCAACACCCGCTCCAGTCTCGGTGGGTAATGAGAAAAGCTTTCTTTGATCTTTTTGTGCTCAGTACAGATCAATAAAAGCTAAGAATAGATGCCTCTGCTGGATCTTGAGTTAAAAATATACTCCAGCAAATATTTTTGTGGTGTTTTGTTTGTTTTTTCTCTTAGCTGAAGTCCAGAGTGAGATAGAGAGGATTTTCGAGTTGGCAAAGTCTCTTCAGCTGGTTGTCCTGGATGCAGATACCATCAATCATCCGGCCCAGCTCCTTAAAACTTCTCTGGCTCCAATTATTGTCTACGTTAAAGTCTCCTCACCCAAAGTACAGTAATGCTTACATTTGATTCGTTAAAAAAAATCAGTCAAAACACATGTATGGTCCTTCTTTTTAGATACAGCATAGTCATAGTCTATTTAACAAGAAAATATTCATCCGGTCCAATTTTTATTTATCAGGTTAGGTTTTTCAGGGATTTGATAATACAAATTAATTCAAACCACACCCAGTACTGCAGGCAAACTATGTCTGGACTTTTTAGGCTAAATTTGAAGTAAAATAATATAATTTAACTAATTGAATCAGTTCAATAGAAATATGTCTCAAACTATTAGTGCTTTATTTATCTTACAGGTTCTTCAGAGGCTGATAAAGTCTCGAGGAAAGTCCCAAAGCAAGCACCTCAATGTCCAGATGATGGCCGGAGACAAGCTGGCTCAGTGTCCTCCTGTATGTTTTTCTCTTTTAGTCTTTGTATCAGTGTAATTGTTAGTTTGTGTTACTTAAAAGGGGACAGAAAATATTAGTAAGCAAATGGTCAAATGTAAATGACTTAGCCAGCAGGCTAGTTTCCATTAGCAGTCCCCATCCCTGCTGTGAAAAATAATTCAATCAGTGACGAATGGAATGAAAACTGAGGATGGAGATTTTTATGAATTGTAGCCTTTGTTTCTTTGGCCTGCAGGAGATGTTTGATGTGATCCTGGATGAGAATCAGCTTGAGGAGGCATGCGACCACCTTGCAGAGTACCTAGAAATTTACTGGAGAGCTACACATCTTCCATGCGCTGCCCCAGTTAATGCTTTACAAGACCAAAATCTAGTCACCCCACCTTCAGCTAACTCCAGTCAGCAGGTACAGAAGGACAACCAAGCAACCGTTTATACTCACTTTATGGTCTTTTTTATTAATTTCATCTTCTCTTTTTTTTTGTCCAAAATAGTTTTCAGAGACTCAAGAGTTGATAGAATGATCCCAGCCCCAGATGTAGGTGAGCAGATTTTTTTTTGTTGTTGTTTATTTCTTTGAAGCATATCTGTATTGTCAATGATAAGTAGAGCAATGACTGTTTTTCAACAACACAGAAGCTTTGATTAGAAAATCTTAATTAAAATTGTTGATTCATTTTTGTTATATGCAAGACAACATGCTCTGTAACTGTCAGTGTTTATAAGCATGTTATAGTTAATCCCCATTTTCTGCTCCATGAAAGCCTTCATGTTAGCAGTGCATAAATTTGATGCTTTCTTTCTTGGAAAAAACTTAGCTTTTGTAACAAAGTGACAAAATCCACTAACTTTCTTTGTGGCTGTATACATGTCCTTGAAAAAACACAAACAAACACATGATCTGATCAATCTCTATCTCATACGTCCTTTCAGGTTTGTGCTGCAGGTAAAAGTAAAATAGTCCAGACCTTTGTCGACAATAGCTTTTTAAGAAACGTAAGGTGTTCAATCATCCTTCTGTCTTCACCAAAGAGAGCAGGAGACAGAAAGTGTGCGTTCCTCCATAATGAAAATAAATTCCATGAACTTTGAGGAAGGTAGAAGTCGTTTTCCTAGTGGGTGAAGATGTGGTAGAGGGGAGACAATAGCACAGATCCTTTACTTTCTCCAAAAGGGATGGAGGTCTGGCCATGTAAGAAGGGAGCGCTTCTAATATAAATATCTTAAATCCAGAATGAAATCCAACAGATTGAAAATATGATAAAGTAGCAGATTTTATGATCAGAAATAAACATTTTGAGATAGGAGTTGTTTTTCATTTGTGCACGTTTAACTAAAACTGCTTTGCATTGAAATACTTATGGTCTTTATCTAAGCTAATGTCTTTAGGAGTTATTCACTGCAGGTTAGATATTGCATATTAATCGCCCTTCCACAAAACCCTGCTAAGAAGTAAACATTTGTATTTACATGCCTTTCATCTTGATCCTCATATATTAGAAAATAATGTCTCGGTTGCAGAAGCTACTTGATGAAATATTTGGTTCAGATATTTGACCTAAATCTTTCCATTTGCTTAGATTTACTGTAATAAATAAGACAAGATGTAACAACTATTGTTCTGTCTGGATTTAGTAAAATATTAGTCATTCAAACTTATGAAGTGACAGAATGAAGATTATAGATTATTACTAAACAGAAATCTGTGAATGTTCCCTTTTCTGCAGGAGCAGCCTGTGCGATCAGCAGCAGTCAGAATAGTCAAGACACAAACAGCAGGGACCACCAGGGGGCAGCAGCGGTCCTCCTCTTGTTAAATCCAGTCACTACCTTCTGCACATCTTCTAAAGAGAAAAGAGCAGGGTCATTGTAATGATTAAAAGAGCAGAAGGCTGGTGAGCTGGGGGAGAAGAAGAAATAAACACAGGGAGGAAGATGAAGATGCAACCAACCGCAGCCTCACTGCTGCCCCAGGGGTTAGATATCCCTGATCCCACCATCAAGTGATAACTCAGGGCCGCTTTCTGCAGTGTCAAAAGCACTGGTTAGGAGACTGGTGGAACAGCACAGTCACTGTTCACCTTCTAACCACCAATCCTCCCATGTCAGCCTTCCTCCTATTAAGACACTAAAAATTGATCCGTAATTCATCCCTCACTGGAGATGCATCACACAAATAAAGGGTTAAAATATGTTAGTCCATGGTAAAGCTGGTAAAGAAAAGCTGTTAGCACAACGTCCATGTTTCCAGTGTAAGGCTCCTAGGGTTTAATGTCTGATACACCTTGCTTCCCTTTCTGGTGAGGAGGAGCAGAGAGTGACAGAAAATCAATTCTGTATGTCTTCCATGTCTGCAGCTTTAAGTGAGCTGTCATTTCAAATGTTAAACTCAAATCCTTCCTTAAAAGAACGATTGCTTCTGCCAGAGTCATTGCAGAATCCCATTTGCATGGACACACAATGAAAATGAGCAAATCTCATCATTCTCTTGTCTCTCACTTTTACTTCTGGTTTATCAAGTATTCTTCTTTCCATCTGTTTAAAATCAAAGCAGTCTATTAAATTAAACTATCTGTATCTCATATCTTGGCTGTCAGTATACGCAATGTATATCTCTACATATAGCCTTTATGCAAATAATGTATAACAAGCACAGATAGTGCACAGTCCTTGACGCTGCTGGGAATTTAAGATTAATCTTATAAGTTTCTAAAAGAGAGTCCTCATAGTAAAAATGTGCAGCTGGTTGGAAGTAAATCCTTATCAGTTCACCTTCAACACAACAAAACACAGTCACAACTGGCCACAATTATCTTTTGACATAAAATGGTGTATCTACTCAAGTTATTCACACCTTTACCTGTCTGAAAGAAACGATGAGGTACTTGCAAAGTTTTAAGAATCAATTTATCAAATCCTTATTTCTGACAGTCTTATATACACGGAAGCCCTTGCCGGGGGTGCATCTTAATGTAATATGACTCATCCCTTATGTTAGCATCCTGGAAGGGGTGCCAGGGCTTGGCCCTGGATTAGTGGTTATAGAGCAGGGCGTGTTTGTCCTGGAGAGTTGAATTAAACCCGTAGCTGTCACTCTTGGTGAAGCCCTCATTAACCCCACAATTCTCTGTGGGTGCTGCAAGCTGCCTACGGGATGGATTAAATGCAGAAGGCAAACTTGGTTGTAATGCACAAACAAATATTTTCCAGTCAGTTTCAGGAGCTGGCCTTACCTAACACGGTGCTGAGACCACCTTATGTTTTGATTGAGTTCGGAGGCAGGGTATGCACAAGGAGCTATTCTTTTTTCTTTTATTTAAAGTTTATTTGGTAAGGACAGACACACATCAACATAGACAAACTGAAAAAAACAGCAGTCCCTTGTTTGCATCATTGTTAAATAGCAGCAACAAATTTGCAGCACTTGTCGTGCTAAAAACACCTCCGGTTGTACCATTACAGGCAAAAAGAAAATTGACAATTCACTATAAGTTTATCGTAGTTTCGTAATGTTATAGTTTGTCATAATTTTTTTTATATATATATAACATTCACTGAAGAACTGGAAAAGAAGGCTCATACTTCTACATAAATTACACCTAAAGCTAGAGTCCAAAAGTAAGACAAGCACAAATAAATATTTGAATATTATTTACATATATAATTACTATCTGATACCTGGCATTGGATTGAGACATCATTTACAATATATTCATAGCATTTGTTCATAGGCTACATTTTACTAAAAAAAATTATTTTCAAATTTTAATGACTTAGTGCCTAAACGTTTACATACCTTCCCATGAAAAAAATGTTAAATTTTAATATTTCTAAGGAACAAACTGTCCCAGACAAATTTAAGTACCTTTTTCATGAACAGTGAACAAAAATGCCTTTCAACTGGTACGGAAGTCTGAGTAAACGTAACAGAAAACACATGATTCCAGAGATGCCTTTAGTTCAGGAGCTGCATCAGACTTTACTTTTTTTACCTCTTTTATTTGTTATTATCATATCAATGTCAAAATTCAGGACTTCTTTTAATATTTTTATTCATTATTACTTTAAATTTATTTTTCTGGCAGCTGACTTTTTTTCTATTTTTGATGGAAAGATATGTAAACTTTCAAGCACAACTATATATATATATATATATATATATATATATATATATATATATATATATATATATATGTTTTACCAACATTTCCATAATCTCCACTGATTTTAGAACAGAAGACATATTCTTTATTTTCACCTTCTATGCACTTCTATGTTAAAACCATAAATAAACTGAAGCAATCACATTACTAAAACTAAACTAAAAATATCACATTATCTTTAAATGCTACTATCAGTTATTACATCAGTCAAACACATCCTACAGCTATGACTGAAAAAGAAATGTAAAACTCACCCAATAACTTTTTCTTTGGCACATATGCGACTTAAAAGTTTATCAAAGAGGAGTTGTGTTATTTTGATTCAAGTGTTCAATCAAAATATGCAGATCTTAAAGAGTATGACTTCTGAAGACATATTCTTTAATCTCTTCCCTGTCTACATTTGCAAACTATGCAGTGGTACAGTCTGCAGTCTGTCTCTAATTTCTCCTGATGGTATGTATAATATCTCATATGGTCCTTAACTTCCCACATCTGAGTAAAACAGCTTTGAAATTATAAAGAACCAATCTTAAGCTTAAAACATGTAAATACCCTATTGTATGTGCATGAAATGATGTACTCCTGTTGCATTGGAAGGGCTGCAAGGATCATCCTCACATGAGAGAATTAACATAACCATTTAAATATGCATTAAGAAAAATAACCTGTACATACTGTATGTAACAATGTATGTAAGTAACAAATACCTGAGAAAAGTCGCAGAATCTGACTGATGAGTTTTTTTTTTTTATTATTATTTTGTTTAATTGTTTTGATAGTACACTGCTCAGAAAGCATGGGTTTAAATGTGATGTCCTCTCTTTTTAAAATGCACTTTTTATCCAGGACCACTGGCAGAGATCGTTTTCATTGACACTGACATTCACTTCGGAATGTTAAAGGGGAGAATTTATAGCTTCCACCTGATGAAACACCAAGAGCACAGGACTTTTTTTTCCTTTTTCTTTTTTTT